GCACTCCGGATCCCCCTCTTGCCCTTAATCCTCCTAAACGTCCTCCTGGCACCCTCGTCATCCCCACTATCCTCATCACGTATATCATCATCATCGTCTCCACCACTCAACTTGGCCTGCAAGAGCACCCCCTTAGCAACCAATCTCTTCTCCAAATTGCGCGCCTCAAAGCCCTCAACCCCATCAAAGCCCCGAGCCTCAAGCCCCTCAAAACCAACAACCCGATCAACCCCAACCCCATCCTTAAACCCAATCACACAAGGCAGAATCCGGATCCCCAGTTTCTGAGCAATGAATGGCGTGTTGCGCACGTCTACCCGCGCAAATGAGACCTCGTAGTGCACGCTCGCTAGCTCGCCTAGTCGCATGTCCATTACCGCGCACCGTGTGAAATCAGGGTGTGCGAAGTGTACTAGGCAGCGGCTGGTGCGGGTTGTAAAGTCCAGCACGGATTGGTCGGTTGATAGGGTTGGGTAGATTTCGTTTTGGAGGAGGGTTGTACTGCCGGGGTTGGGGTTTGTGCTGTGGTTGTTCTTTTTGGAAGCAAATTCCTCGTTTAGTTGTTGGATTCGGGCGTCACGGTAGCTTGTGTCATCTTCTTTTTCAAGGGATGCGAAGAGGGCTTCGTCGTCGGAGTCAGTCATCTTAACGGGTTGGTCGGTTGGTGGGGGTTTGGAGTGGTTCGGTGGTTTTGTTTTTTGGGTGTTTGGTTTGGTGTGGGTATTCTCTGTGGATTTGTTTCTTCTCCTGGCCTATGATTCTAGGCTGGAGATTGTAACTAGATTGGATTGAGGTGTGTGTGAGGAGGGTTGAGGTGGAAGATCGGAGCTCCACAGGTATTGGGCTCGGTAGTTTACGCGTTGAACATTGGGCTCAAATATAGACAAAGAGATCTTTCTTTCTATTTGCAATTGAGAACAGATATTTATCCATTAGTTTATAGCTGATATATAAATTGAAAATAGGTATTGCATTGCTTCAGGGGGGCGCAGTATAGTAGATAGATACACAGGATCACAGTGTTGACCACAGTATCTCAAAGTATCGCAATTGCTTCAATGGTCTTTGCGGTCACAATTGCAGCAATCCTAGTCCATACTGTCCTCTTTCTTATATCCAAAACACATTTCTCTAACAAAGTTGAGGGTAACGTGTTTCTCTATAAATAAAATTAAATGCTGAGTCAGCCCCCCTAAATCCCCTGCTTAGGTAACGCGTCTGTTTCCGGGCGAAATCTGTTGTTGTCGAAATCTCCCTTCACTTTCTTTGGTGACTCTCGAACACTCCCTTCTTTCGACTCTGTGATCCTCTGTGATCCTTTCTTGGCTGGTTCTTCTGTTATTTCAGTCCTCACCCTCCCATTACCCCTCGACTCCTGAACCCACTGTCAACCGCCAAGATGGTCGAAGACAAGAAGTCCGACGACTACACCGTCGAGATGGACAAGCTCGATCAAGGGAAACAGTTCGAGGCTGCGCCTCCGCCAACCCCCTCGCCCCGCGCTGTCCCCAGCGCCATGTCCACCAGCCCAGTCCTTCCCGTCCTGGCATACTGCGGATCTTCTATTATGATGACTGTGATGAACAAGTATGTTCTGTCGGGTCTGGACTTTAACCTGAACTTCCTCTTGCTCTGTGTTCAGGTATGTGGAGACAATTGTGGCCTGCTCTCTTAGAGCCAATCACTGATACTCAACAGTCTTTGGTCTGCATTGTTGCGATCCAGACGTGCAAGTCCATGGGTCTCATCACCTACCGCGACTTCAGTGCCGATGAGGCGCGCAAATGTAGGGGATTCAATATTCCAGGTTTCAGGTTTCGGCAGCTAATCGAATTCTTTTTCTATGATTTTAGGGTTCCCGATTACGCTACTCCTGATCGGCATGATCTACACTGGCTCCAAGGCTCTCCAATTCCTCTCAATTCCCGTCTACACTATCTTCAAGAACTTGACCATTATCCTTATCGCCTATGGTGAGGTCCTCTGGTTCGGTGGCTCCGTCACTAGCCTGACCCTGTTCTCCTTCGGTCTCATGGTCTTCAGCTCGCTCATTGCCGCCTGGGCTGATATCAAGCACGCCGTGGAGAGCACTGGTGACACCTCCAGCAAGGTCTCGACCCTGAACGCTGGATACGTCTGGATGTTGATCAACTGCCTGTGCACCTCGTCTTACGTACTGGGCATGCGCAAGCGCATCAAGCTGACCAACTTCAAGGACTTTGACAGTACGTGGCTTTTTTTCTAGTCTTTATTGAAATGTTCGCTAATATCATTTCTTTCAGCCATGTTCTACAACAACCTCTTGTCCATCCCCGTTCTGATCGTTCTCACCCTCCTGGTCGAGGACTGGTCCTCCGCCAACCTGGCCCGCAACTTCCCCGAGGCCAACCGCGACGGCATTTTCTTCGCTATGGTCCTGTCCGGAGCCTCGTCCGTCTTCATTTCGTATACCTCCGCCTGGTGTGTCCGTGTGACCTCGTCTACCACCTACTCGATGGTTGGTGCGCTCAACAAGCTGCCCATCGCGGTGTCAGGTCTCATTTTCTTCGATGCGCCAGTTACCTTCCCCAGTGTCTCCGCCATTGCTATTGGCTTCGTCAGTGGTATCGTCTACGCTGTTGCCAAGATCAAGCAGAACGCCAAGCCCAAGACCGGTGTCCTCCCTACACCTGTCAGCGCCAGCAGCCAGAGCATGAGAGACTCGCTGCGCTCTTAATCTGCATTTGGCACTATTTATCTGACTGGTCAGCGCATATATCAAAAAGTTCACCGTCCAACCAACCGGTGCTATCTTTGCATGTGACATTATGATTCACGTTTCATTGCAGCCGAAGTATGGGCCTTTTCTTGTCTGATCCTGATGGGGGATATTCCTGTGATCACTTTGGTCGGTGTTGGTGTTTGATTTCTCTCTTCTTCTTTTCACCCTTTCTTCCTTTCTTCCCCTCTCTTGACGTCTATAGAGGGGACTTGTGAAACAGAAACTGTTTCCAATTTTAAATTCCCCTTCCCCCTGATCTCGGTCCAAGTATGATTTAATTCTTCTTTTTTGACATGCGGCCATAGCATCTTTCTGTCTTGTTCCTGTACATAGCTATGCCGCGCTCTGGTTTTGCCAATAGAACGTGCGTTTGGATAACTAATATGATGATTCTTGGAAATGATACCAGTGGATATGCAGAGAAGCTTGTCATATCCTTGTAAATTTTATAGACTTAATGCCCCAGAATGGAGAATATAAAGCTCTATCAATATGTTGTACAGCTCGGATCTATGATTGGCCGAGCTTAACCCAGACCCGCGATTTTCCTTCTTGCATCTTCACCTCAACCAACTCTCCTTATATGCTTGGATCTGTTTCAGGCAAACCCCAATTTCATATTTAAGGCATTAATCACTATGCCTCGCAATAACAAGAAACTCAAAGGAGCCCCTGCTCCAGCCCGCTCCCGCGGACCTGGCAAACCCTCTGGCCAGTCTTCTAACCCTCCCAGCGGACATAATGGAAATGGCCAGAGTCAGGGACAGGGAAAGGAGACTACAGTCAAGAAGGGTCCTGTGCCGGCGAACCAGAGACCTATTGTTCCATTTTTGAGGAAGGATCGGGTTCTGCTTATTGGTGAAGGTGAGTTAGGTATCAATTTGGTGTTATGTTCTAAACTGTTGCTTCTATTGCGTGTCTGCTTTTTGTCTTGACGATTTATGTATATTTGATTTGTTGGTAGTCAACTCCCCCCCGGTGTGGGATCATACTATCTCCATTCTGATATATGGGATTGGAATCAATACGCAAATTTCGATCAGAAACAGCATGCATGATTCGATCTACAGTTGAACTGGCATCATTCTGAGAGAATAAATGCTAACAATCAACAGGGGACTTCTCATTCGCCCGCTCTCTGGCAACCCAATACAAATGCCGCAATCTATGCGCAACATGCTACGATTCCAAAGAAACATTGGAAGGCAAATACCCACAAGTGGAGCAAAACATCCAAGCAATCCTAGAATCCAGCAAAAAGCCAAAGAAAGAGACAGAAACAGAAACAGAAAGCGGCACAGAAGAAAAGAGCAAAGTCTCAGCCAACACCACTCAAAAAGCCCCCAAAGTCCTCTTCTCCGTGGACGCCCGCAAACTCGGCAGCCCGGGTGGCGGCGCCAAAGAAATCCGCACTGGCTTCCCTCGCCACGAACGCAAAAGACCAGGCTGGTTCCAGCCAAAGACCCCAGACCCGCCTTATCAACCTGGCGGACCGTGGGATGTGATCTGTTTCAATTTCCCGCATGTGGGTGGGCTCTCGACAGATGTTAATCGTCAGGTGCGGGCGAATCAGGAGTTGCTGGTTGCTTTCTTTAAGGCTTGTGTGCCGCTTGTCTCTAACGCGCCGCCGCTTATGGATGCTGATGAGGATGAGTGGGAGATATCCGAGTCTGAGGATGATGAAGATGAAGATGAAGACGACGATGGTGGAGAGCAGGGGGATGAGACGACTGGGAAGGGGATTCGGACTGGGCCTGGTCAGATTCTTGTTACTTTGTTTGAGGCGGAGCCTTATACGCTTTGGAATATCAAGGATTTGGCTAGACATGCTGGGTTGATTGTTGTTACCAGTTTCCGGTTCCCGTGGGCGTCTTATGAGGGATACTCGCATGCGCGGACGATTGGGGAGATTGAAGGGAAGAATGGGGAGAGAGGTGGGTGGAGGGGGGAGGATCGGGATGCGAGGATGTATGTCTTTGAGGTGAAGCAGAAGCCTAAGTGGAAGCAGAAGCCTAAGTTCAACAAGAAGACGCAGAAGAGGCCAAGAGGCGAGGAGTCGTCTAGTGATAGCGAGTAAGGTGGTGATATACATATGCCATTGCATTTGATTCATGTGTCCTCTGAATATACAAGGCAAAGCATGGCCTGTCCCTTAACTGTGTAAATTTACCGCTTCAAACCGCTAAAAATGACAGCGTAATGGCCAACCCCTGCCCAAACAAGAAAAGTAAAGTCTCGTTTACATTATATACACTTTCTTCATGTCGCTCTCGTCAAAGACTTCACCTGTTGTTGGGTCTTTGACCTTGCCTGATTCCACAGATCCCAACTTAGTGCTGATTTCTATTAACCGCTGCTGTCCGTAGACACGGCCGTTAGGTAGGACTATGGGGTCGCTCTCCACGTAGCTCTTCGAGTGATGGGCGTACGGCATTGTGCGGGCGAGCTCGTTCAGTTCGGTCGAGCAGATCGGACACACTGATGTTGAGGTTGACTGCGAGTTAGAGCTGGACGATGTGTACGCGGAATGGCACAGGGGTGTTTTGAGTGCCGAAAGTCCGGCTGAAAGTGCAATATGTAGTAATGGCTGTGACGGCAATGAAAGTAACTCATGGTGAGTCTGGACAAAGAGATCTGAGAGCTCTTTCCAGCGGTCCAGTGAGAAGAGCGACTAAGTTTGTCAGTACAGAACATCCCTTTGTCAGGAATTGTTTGTCATACCTTGTAAGGCTCAACTTTGGTGTCTTGCTTAAAGACCAGCAACCCAGCAGCACGCCTGATCTCCGGATTTTGAGCCTGATGGTTTAGTATCAGATATCTCTTGGCATGAGCAATTGCCTCAATCTTCTTTGTTTTGTCCTGGGTCCGGACCATTTCGATGAATTGCTGCAGCCGGAGCTCAAATTCAAGGTTGTGCTGCAGATATCTGGAATTAGCTCGTCTTAATACAAATGCAGGGCTGCCGTAACTTACCTGACTCTTTTTCAAGGCCGCTTTATTCTCACCGCACCACTGCAATGCTTCCTTTGTCTCTCCTCGCCTCAAGCTCTTAACAATTCGTTGACACTGCGTAAAGACATCAAGATCCACAAGTTCCTCAACTCCCCTCTCCTGGGCTAGTTGCTTTGCACTTTCCGAAAACCCCGATCGCAGCATATGATCCACAAGCAGTCGATCCAGTCGTACTCTTGCCCACTGGTCGTATTTGACATCGGCTAGATTGGGGATCTTGTGCAGTGCCTCCAAGTGTTGAATGCGCTTGCGAGACTGGTTGTGGATTTTCTTCTCTTCTTCCTGCAGCCCTTCCATCTTCCTCTTGAGGCCTTGCATTCGGGATATCATCGCGTCGAGGGCGGCAAGTGTCTGGTCGGGGGTTTGTGTGTTGGAGAGTGAGGCGTTTGCGGTGTCCTTGAGTGCAGGGAGGACATATTCCTTTTCGCGTTCGACAGCTCGTTGTACGGTCTTAAAGTTCCTGCGGGCTAGTTCATGTGGAAGTCGGAGAAGTGGTTGGTCCTGTTTGGGGCGGGATGTGGTTAGAGCACTTCCTCTCTCATCTTCAGACGTGTGGAGAAATTACCAGGATAATGTGGCTCTCCGGGTTGAGCTTTGTTGATGTCAGTTCTGCAGCCATGGTGACCAGAGACTCTTTTTATCTCAGACCAAGGTCCTCAAGTCCGAGATTAAATAATCGAGTGACATGGATCAGAAGACGAAGTGGAGGGGAAGCTCCGGCATGCGGAGATAAAGTCACGAGGTCCGCGTCATTGGGCCAGTGCAACGTTCAGAGTAATGCAGGATCGATACTCTTAATGGTACGTTACTTTGCTCTACTTTACTCGATTCTACCCTGGTTTACTTTACTGATTCAATTAAGCATTCACATAAGCAGCCTTCAATATGAAACTGTAGAATAGACTAACGAATTTCCCTTTTGACCCAAGACTCCGGAAATAGCAAAATATGGTACAGGGGACCTGATGGTCTTCCTGGAGTGCATCTAGTCGCTGTCATCGCTATCGTCCTGCTTGGACTTCCGGCGCTCCTTCTTCTCCTTCTTCTCCTTCTTCTTCTTCTTGCGCTCGGCCTTCTCCTCGGCAGTCTCGCCCTCGTGTCTCTTGCGCTTCTTGTCTTCGCTGTCAGCCTCGGCCTTCACGGGCTCGGGGGAGTCCTCCTTGGGAGCAGGGGCGATTGAGGGAGCGGCGGCAGACTCTTCAGCATCGAGAGGAGCGTTGAAGTCCTTGTACTCGCTCTTCCACTTGGCGGGGGTAGCCTCGTTGGTACGGCCGTACTTGTCAAGCTGGCCAGCGGACTTCATCTTCTTCTTCTCAAGAGCGGTGGGTCCGAGACCCCAGCGGCGGGGGTAGAGGTCACGCTCCATGATGCAGCGCTTGACCTTGGCGACAACGCCGTGGTCGCAGGTGGTGAGCTCGACGGTGGACATCTGAGCGATACCAATGGCGATGGCCTCGCCCTTGGTGGTCATGAGGACGACCTCCTCGTTGATCTCAATGCCGGACTCGTAGCGGAGCAGACCGGGGATCATGAGCTTAGCACCGTAGCAGACGGCGTTGACAGCGCTGTCCTTGACGACAATACGCTTGTAGGAGGTGAGGAGAGACTCCAGAGGGCTGATGACCTTGCGGAGGTAAGACTCGTCGCGCTGGTTATCGTAGACCCACTGAGCGTCCATCACATCGTGTAGGGTGACCATACCCTTGCTCTCGTCCATGGCACCGGAGCGGACACGGCGGAGCTCCTGCATGTGGGCACCGACACCGAGGAGGAGACCCAGGTGAACACAGAGAGTACGGATGTAGGTACCAGCCTCACAGCTGACCCAGAAGACACCAAGGTGACGCTCGTTGTCGAACTCGTAGAGCTTGCTCTCGTGGATGGTACGGATACGGAGCTGACGCTTGACGGCAGAGATGAGAGGGGGACGCTGGAAGAGCGCACCAGTCAAGGTCTCCAGAGCGCGGCGGAACTGAGCCTCGCCACCGGGGATCTTGTCGTGGAGACGAATGACACAGACGTACTCCTTACCAGCACCTTGCTGAGACTTGACCAGGCGGGTCGCACGATCAATGCAGACAATCAAACATCCAGTGACCTTGGGATCAAGGGTACCACTGTGACCAGTCTTCTCGGATCTATAAAGGAGAGAGGTCAGCATTGATTCCATTGAGGTAGATGAGGATTGATTTTACCTGAGGATCCGCTTCATCCAAGCCACGACTTCGTGACTGGAAGGGTTCGACGGCTTGTCGAGGTTGATGACACCGGAGCTGATGTAGGACTTGAGGTCACGGCTAAGGGGAGAGGAGCCAGCGGGAATAGGGGTGAAGTGACCAGTCCGGACGAGCACTATTCAAGTTAAAATGTCAATGTCGGCTGGGTCAAGCATGGAGTTTTAGGGACAAGCGTACGCTTCTCATAGTTCTTGAGCAGAAGCGGCCAATCCTCCGTGTTAACGGTAGGAACGGACGCTTCAGGCTTGATGGCGTAGTCCATCTCCGAGGTCTTGACGACGGCCATTTTGGTGGTTGTCGTTGAGGAATTGCGCGGTTGAAGCCCCGAAAATTTGGTCGAAGGAAATTTTGCGAGTGCGGCAGCTCCAGCGCCCAAAGGGGTTTAGCGCCCGGCGGTGGTCATTCTCACGTGACCGAGTTTTTCCTTTCTTTTTGGACATCAAAAGACTTTACTCTTTAATTCTCTTTAATTCTCTTTAATGCAGTTCAATTAGGATGTGTTTGCTATTGATACATTGTTAATTCGTGAACGTGTTGAGGTTTGCTATCAATTATCACTATTTATGATAATAGGCACGCCGACGCGCCTGCCCAGATGCAAGCCCATATGATTTACACATCTGCAAAGACCCTAGCCGAGTCTGCGACCAGCACCTCTGCCATTCCAGGAACCCTGCACACCAGAGGCCCAGCCCCAGGATGATGGGAGTGGTCCACTCTCAGGTTGATCGGCTGCTCGCGCTGGGCGACTGGCTGTTCCATATCCTCGGTATCCAACGTTCGCGGTGTGTCGAGTAAAGTATCTCTCCACGAAGGCTGGGACCACGATAAAGTTTCGCCCGCCACCGAAGGTAGGGTAGATGCGAGTGATGAAGTCGTAAAGATGAGCAGAGATGATGCCCATGCTCTCTATTAAAGCAGATTGCCACCCGAGCATCACCATTGAGACAAGGAGCAATGCGTATGGCAGAAACACCACGGGAATGTCGATAAAGTAGAATCTCACGCGCTTGCCTCGGTTATCCTGTGAATAGGTGTAGACGAAAGCCATGATCAAGGCTGGTTCCAGTCAGCGTAGGGTACGAAAGAAAGAAGTACTGTAAGCTTACGGCTTGTAAGAACCATCGCCCCGAAATAAGCACCCGCTGTGAGCTTGGAAAAAGTTAGCCCTTTTCGAAGATTGGACTACCGGAACGAGTATGTAGGAAGAATAGAGGATGGCATTGGAAAAGAATAGATGTATATAAATGTAGGGCGCCAAAAAACCGACGTGAACTTATAGGATCACGCCGGCTATCTCGAAGGCAATCCCACCATTCCCACATCGCATGCAGCACCTATATTTTGCGAATTGATGGTGCTGCACGGGATGCGGGGGTAATCTCCCTCGCTTCCAGGAACCGCTTCAGCTAGATTTGAAGGCTGGGCGGGCAGATAATGCGAGGGGAAAGGAAAAGAAAGAAAATAGAGCTCTAAGTCACTTACCATGAGGGTGAAGGCTACAAACAACAGGTAAATGAAGAACTCTCCAGGTCGGTCGAAACGAGCCGAGCCCGTCTCCAGAGAACTGCCATAGTGGTACACTGTCGGTACATTAGCACCCTGATCAATGATTGTGATACCGAGGCATCATACTGAAGTAAAGATCAAAGACAAAGGACAAGCCAGGTCCGGTTAGTAAGAATGGGGTGGCTAGCCGCCAGATTTCTGGGCGCCATTTGAAGATCAGACTCGGAAGGTAGATGACATGGAAGCCGCTCATTAAACCACCATGTACCAACGCGGATTGAACCAGAGTCAAGGCTGTAAGAGTCCTGAAAGGTGAGTTAGCAAGATGGGCTTCAAATCAAGAGGGGTTGTGCATACCTAGTGACCGGAGGAGCCTGCCAAAAGAAGTCCATGGCTGAAAAATAAAATGCTAGGTTAATTTATCGCTGCTTGTATCATTGCGCTTTCATAGAAAGCCAGATTACTGAGTTGAAGGAAAAAGAAAGAGGAAGGGAGAGGTGGGAAGGAAGAAAAACGTGTGCAAAACTAGCTCCGGCAAAATTTATCCGACGTCCGTGATTACAGCATCACTTCCATCTAGTTCGAGCCTCATCTATAGATCTGTACAACTGCCCAGGGCATTATCACTTGGATCTGTTTGATTCGTAGTAACTTCAACATCCAGGTTGGGTATAATCATATGAATATTACAAGCTCCTTGTCTGGGCAGTACCTCGTACAGCCAACCCTCCATCCTGGCCTTCAATCCACACATCCCAAGCTCCAGTATCATTCTTGGGCTTTCCACAGATCACCAGCTCCTCTTCGACAAAAAGAGGGGCTAGGTTTCTATACTCAATGCTATTGACGTAGAGATTCACCTGTTTCAAATGGTACTGAAGCACACTCAACAGAAGCGTGAGCGTCAACGGGCCATGCACCAAAAGATTACGGTATCCTTCCTGGTTTTGAGTATATCCCTTATCCAAGTGGATAGAATGGGCATTGAATGTTAGCGCCGAGAACCGAAATAGCAGCGCTTTAGTCGGTATGAGAGCATGGCGGAACGTCGCGTTGGCGGGAGCTATGGTTTGCGCCAGAATGTCAGCACTTTCTCTACAATTCAAGAGACAGATTCAAGGGGAACGAAATTCGCACATTTGACAATCCTACTAGGCTTTCCAAATTGCTCTTTATCAGCCTCAATTTGTGCCTCGGTCTTCAAACGCATGAAGATGAGATCCCGATTCTCAATGACTGACGACTCCCCCGGGTTTTCTTCGTTCTCTTTCCATATCCGATTCCAGGTTGCGTCGGCAGTTTCTCCCTCTGGGACATTGCCAACGCGCCGCTCAATAGTGACAATTACCTTCTCGTCTCCGTCGCGGCCCTTGATTGTCACATTGCGGATGGATTCAATACAGACTGCCCGGCTGCCATCTAAAGCGGGACTAGATGTGGGAAATCTTAGGTTCCCACCTGCCCAAAGACGCCGGTTGAATGGTTCCCCGGGTGTGTGTAGCGTATCTGTGCAGTCCGGGAGTAGTTGGGACAATGTCACCTGCGGTGGGAAGTAGATTAAGTGGTGGCCGACCGGTAATGGAGATGGATTCTGTATCGAGGGTAGAGTTGCATAATCGTGGATGGTCGTAGATTGTGGTAGAAGATCACGGAGCGTCAGGTTCAGAAGGTGTGAGGGCTGCGGGTGTAGGTAGTCGTAAGTCAAAGGGAGTTTCCTTGTAGTCAGTTCGCGATGCAAGCGCTCAGAAAGCGAAGAGTAAGTTCGACATCCATGCCTCAGAGAGAGCAGGGGTCGCAGTGGAAATGTCATGGGGAAAAGTACGGATCAGATGATGTCTCAACCCCGGAGTTGGATCTCAGATCGTTTGGTCTGTTTGTTTGTCGCTCATTGCCAATGTTGGAATATCGGAGCCCACACCGCTCGGCGGGTCAAATGGAAATGTTCAGCTGAGTGGATTAGGGGAATTCGTTCTTCATTCTCACTCAAATGCAATCATGACTCGCTTGAGAGTGGCCTTCCTAGGGCCATTGGCGTCGTTTTCGCATCAGGTCAGCCATACCCCGATATACCCCGCATCATTGCACCAGATCTGACGATTGACCCCTGATCTATAGGCCACTGCAGAGTCCTTTGGCAAGATCTCGGCAGATCTGCTACCTCATGCCTCGTTTGCAGAGGCTTTCGCCGCCCTTCAGCAAAAGGCAGTCGACTACGCTGTGATTCCGTGCGAGAACTCCACCAATGGATCTGTGGTGCAGACGCTAGATCTCTTGGCAGATCGGGATGATTCATATAGAGATGTGACTGTGTGTGGGGAATACTACCTCACAGTCCACCATTGTCTTCTCGCACGCAAAGGCGCGTATCCGGGCGGCTGGGCTGGCTACGATGGCTCGATCACCAAGCTATATACACACCCGCAGGCCTGGGGTCAATGTGAGACTTTCCTCTCTCGGTATTTCAAGGGCGTCGAGAGGCAAGATGTCTCGTCCACGTCTAAGGGTGCTGAGATTGTTTCCAAGGAGACCGATGAAAAGGGCGGTGCCATCGCCAGCCGCTTTGCAGCAGAGTATCATGGAGTGGATATACTCCAGGAAAATATCGAGGACCGTGCGGACAACACCACACGCTTCCTGATATTGAGAAATGTGCTCGCTGAGCGCACAGCCCAGCTGGAGTTCGAACAACCGAACCCACCCACGTTGGACGACAGGCCTACTCTTGAAACCACGCACAAGACTTTGATCTCTTTCACCATTGATCATTCTTCGGCAGGTGCATTGGCAAATGCCTTGATCATCTTCAAGAGCCATGGTCTCAACCTTACAAGTATCAACACAAGGCCGAGTTTGAAGAAGCCGTGGCAATACATCTTCTTCGTTGAGTGCGGAAGGACTCCTTCTGATGAGAACAAGGATGCCGTCCACAAGGCTCTCAATGACCTCCGACAAGTCACAGAAACATGCAAGGACCTGGGCACTTGGAAGGATCAACTGAGCGCGAACAATGCTTGAAACCATGTGAACATAATTCCTAGTGCCTTTTACGTGAGAATTTTTCTGGTCCGTGGAAAAAGGCACCATGCTACATATGAGTTTCAGTTTACCACACGAATGAATGACAAAATTAAAACTCGTTCTCTTCTATACGAAGCATACTCCGCTAGACAAAGAGATAACTTAACAGACACGTGCACCATCTATACCAACCCTTTCGGGTGCTTTTTTGAATATAACGAGCAAATAACGAATGAAGTACCAGGCAATGCCATTCTGAATGAATTGGCATATAGCTGGCCGAGAAATAACTATCCAACACCATCTGTCTTACATGAAGTAAGTCGAGCAAGCAGCGGTGGATGACCAAATTTTGCCGAGAATCAGATCCAACCTAAATTGCAATTTAAACCACTTCATATCAGACCCCGAGGTGACCTCGGTGTGCATATCACGGAGCTTGGATGACCCTATTCAAACATTAAAAAAACACGTTCTTATATTGTCATGACATCCATGGATGAACAAACCTCTGAGTGACTTCACTGTGCTTGGACCAGGCCTTTGTTGGTTATCCTTCACGGATGCCTTGGTTCCATCACGGGAGCCACCGTGTTGATCCACAGGGCGAGCCGTCAAAAGACCCGCCGCGGGAGCTTCTGGCCGTTCATCCTCGCTCACTGCGAGGGGGCAACGCCGTCAATCTGTCCAAAGTTAGTTGTTGAACCAGAGTCGGAGAAGTAGACCAAGCATACCGTCGTAGAACTCATCGTCATCGCTGTAATCGGCAAGCTGTTCAAAGTTGACCTTGTATCGGAGAATAGCACCGATACCACCGAATCCCTTGACGAACTGGTTTCCTTCGCCAGATCGGTCGGAGACGAACTCCAGGTTGGCACCGAAGTCCTTGTAGGCCTCAGCAAGCCACTCCAAGAAGGAACCCGAGTCGACAACCTCCATATCGAGACCTGTCTCCTTGTCCTGGAAAAGCTCACGGTTGGATTCCTGGGACTTGTTGGTGTGGACCACAACCTCAGCGCCTGCAGCGTTCTTCATGACCCAGCGGGTGATCTCCAGGTTCTCGTGGACAATCAGAATCTCAGCCGCACCAAGCTCCAATGCCTTGAGGGTATCCTCAATACCATAGCAGACCTTGCCAGTATCTTGACTGATCTCCTGGAAGTACTGTCCGATGAGCTTCTTCTCCTGGACGAACTTGACGTTGCTCAGGGTCTCGCCAGCAAGCTCAATAGCCTGGTTGAAACCGTTCTCACCACCGTAGGAAACATCGACAATCTTGATAACCTTGGCCTGTAGACGGCCGTCGAACAGGTCGGACTGGTTGAGGTCGTTCTTGAAATCGGCAGAACCGGCCAAGACGAGTCCGGCGACGTTGACTTTGTCGTTGGTAATATAGTTCTGGACAGCCAATTCGGCGATTTTGCGGACGTAGTTGTGGCGCTTTTCCTCACGGAGACGAGAGAAACGCAGAGCGGATTGACCACCACGACCCTTCCCAGTTATCAGCATGGACAATTTCAAGACAAAAGGTAGATAGACTCACGTGCTTCTTGGGCAGATCGACGGAAAGACGCTGAAGGATCTCACGGGTGTTACCACTGAGAGTACCGAACAGAGCACCGTTACCGTCCATGATAATGAAACCGAACTTCTGGTCAGACTCCAGAAGCTCACTCAAGGCCTCAGTGTGAAACTTGTTGTCACAAAGGTATAGCGATGTGTTGATGGGCTTGAAGGGTTCGAAGTCGATGTTAATTTTGCGCTCCTTTCCTTCGGCGGTGATAATTTCACCACAGTACACAACCAGCCCATTGGGTGGAACCTTGTTGTACAGCTTGAGACGCTGCTGGGTCGAAGTAATGGCTGACAAGACGGAGAGACGGTTCACTCGGGACTTAATGTTGGAGGCGGTACCCTGATCGTGTGCGGTCAGGCGACGCTCGTAGATCTATCAGAGGAGGAACATACATATTCTTCAGCCAGCATCTTTGCGGCCCGGGAAATCTGATCCTTGGGGGCTGTATTCGCGAGTTAGCGGCGACAGGTGGCTTGGGACCTGGGCGACGAACGGATAATGAGCGAGATCATGGAAGTTCCATTTCCGCGAGCGGATTCAAGACGCTTGATCAGCTTCTTGACCTTCCAGATCTCGATGTTCTTATCAGCTTCGTTCGGCTGAGGAGCGCTCATTTTGGGCGAGGCGAAGGACGATCAGGGGGGAAAGTATCAAAGGCCTTGCCTGCGGACGCCTGAAGACTCGGTCAGTGAGTGAAGCGGGAACTTCAAAGAATTGATCCAACCTGTTCAACACCTAAAAATGGTCAGTATGAACAAAAAAAGGGCCAGCAAAAAGGCACAGATAATTTTTGACGCGAGATTCCAGGAATACAGGGAACACATACCTTGACTTGATTGACGTGCAAAGCGGCAAATTTCCTCGTGGGGTGGGAAGTACACAGTTTGTTCGAGGGGTCGGCTGGCACCGCTGATGTAAGCCAGGGCTCGTGACGTATCTGGTACTTGCTAGGTTATTGGCCCAACACCAGAGTTTCAGGTACCGGTACCTGTAGAGATTGGGGGGCATATTGGGCATGCGTAACATATATCCATCTACAATTAGGTATGTATGTACATATATAAATGTCTATAGTTACCTATTTGGACGTTTTATATAAATTCGAATCTGCCTTTGCCTTACGTAAATATAAAACACTGAATGAGGGCCCGTGGACAAGCCGGGTTCGGACCTACCTAGTAGACTTAGTAGATTTATTATCTATCATACCATCCTCGTAATTTCCTCCATCGCCTCTATTAGACATCTGGTCACTACAATTAGTCAATGACTTGCGGTCTTATCAAAAATCTGTGATCCGCACTCCCCACACTAACCTCTACGGGAAGCTCCTTGGCGCTAGACTCTTTTGAACATCGCGGACTCGTCTTATCTGTTGGAGCTATCTCCATGTGATAAGAGAGGGGAGTTTTCCTCTTTACTTCCAAGGTTGTTCTTCTTTTCCTCCCTAAACTTTAGATCTTCCCTTGTGTTCGAGAAGTGTCACAACCATGTCTCGGACAGACAACCATGACAATGACTCGTTGGATGGCTCATTGAGAACACCAACAACCGTGTTACCGAGCTCCTATGACTATGGCCACCTGGATCGTGGGAGTCCGATCGAGTCAGGGGCCTGGGGTAGACAGAGGTAAGTGCCTTGTGCTCCGTGGATCGCCCATCCTACTAACTTCGGAACAGGTCGTCGTCGTTCTCAAACCGGCTCCGTCAAGCGGGTGGTCCCAACAGTCTGGATAACTTTGCGCGATCCTGGCAGAGAGCTGCAGCGTTCCCGGAGGTGATTCCACGGCGGTCCTCGTTTGTCTCGGAGTCGGACGATGAATTTGGAATTGCTACTGGTGTGGAATATGGATCGAGAAGCAACCAGTCTTGGGGATCTTGGGGTCGGAGCTCGGATGTCGAACGACCTCTGCTGCGTGATGAGTCGGATGAGGATGAGCCAGCCGAAGAGGACTCGCATGGGCCTGAGCAATCCAAGCGCGGTATACCCAGCACCGGGCTTCTGGCCTCTTCTTTTGATAGAAGCTTTGCGGCTTCATATGGCACAATCTCTTCGCGGATGAGCGAGTCGACTCGGAGACATGCGATTCAATTCCATAGAGATCAGAATATTCATGTGGATAGCGCGGGAGACCCGGACCGGGGGCCATTGCTGGTCAAGCATATCCAGCATGAAGATGGGACCCAGGAGGATGTCATCGTTGGCCAATCCACAGTCCCGCAGACCGTCTTCAACTCTGTCAATGTGTTGATTGGTATCGGTCTCCTGAGTCTCCCGCTGGCAATGAAGCATGCCGGGTGGGTTTTAGGACTGATATTCCTGGTATTCTCTGCAGTGACAACCGCCTACACTGCCAAGATTTTGGCTAAATGTCTGGATGTTGACCGGAGCGTCGTCACTTATGCTGATCTAGCCTATATCAGTTTCGGGCAGCATGCCCGTTTGGTGACCAGCTTTTTGTTTTGCTTGGAACTTCTCGGTGCATGTGTGGCCCTGGTTGTGCTTTTTGCAGACAGTCTATATGCTTTGGTGCCGGGCTTGAGCATCTTACAGTGGAAGATCCTCTGTGGAGTTGTGCTGATCCCGCTTAATTTCCTGCCATTGCGTTTCCTAAGTATTACCAGCATCTTGGGTATTATATCCTGTACATCAAGTGAGTTTCGTGACCTCAAAACAAATCACCCGAGACTGACACTGCCCAAGTTGTGGCTCTCATTTGCATCGATGGCCTCGTCAAACCAGATGCACCAGGTTCACTGCGGCAGCCAGCCAACACATTCCTCTTCCCTGAGAACTGGGCTACTATTCCCTTGAGCTTCGGCCTAATCATGTGTAAGTTTGCGAACCGCTGTGTGGTTTACAGAATAGCTAATTCTTAAAAGCACCTTGGGGCGGCCATGGTGTCTTCCCAAACATCTACCGAGACATGAGACACCCTCAGAAGTACGGAAAGAGTCTGCGGGTGACCTACATTTTTACAGTAAGCCTCTTTTGAATTAAGATAAAAGATCCAATTCTAACGAGACTAGTTTACTCTCGACTGTTCAATGGCCATCATTGGTTGGCTCATGTTTGGAGATTTCGTCCAGGACGAGATCACTGCGAACATTCTCGCAGTCACCAACTACCCAAAGGCTCTTTCCGTCTGTATTATAGTATTCATCTCGATCATCCCGCTCACCAAGGTGCCGTTGAAGTAAGTCCACACCTTGGTTCTGTTTCAAACACGACTGACAAGATTATAGTGCACGGCCTCTGGTTGCCACATTTGAAGTTCTCTGTGGAGTTGCAGGCAATGCGCCCGCTGAGAACCGCTCCAGCGAAACGATCCAACAGATCTCACGGGCAGTGATTCGCCTTTTTGTCGTAGTCATGATTGTCATTTTGTCCATCATCTTCCCAGCGTTCGACCGCATCATGGCGTTCATGGGATCCTTCCTGTGTTTCACCATTTGTATTATCTTCCCTCTTGCATTTTACCTCAAGATCTTTGGAAAGGAGATCAGTCGAGGCGAGCGCATCCTTGATTGGATTCTGCTTGTGATTTCTTCGATTCTGGCAGCGGTGGGAACTGTCTGGGCTTTCTTGCCCCGGGAAGTCCTTGCAAACTAGCTTCAGCCCTAATCAGCACCATTGGTGCTTGAAGAATAAATGTTGGTTTGCGTATAGACAATCAGCCTTTGTTGAGGATGACGGCAAAATTATTTCTTGTCTTGCCAGACCTCAACTCTTCCTTCTTGTAGACCTTAGGTGCGTAGTTACCAGAGTGCTCCCAAAGATGGAAAACCAGCTTGGAGGTCCGCTTGCTCTGGGTTAGACGGAAGCCCAGGCAAGCCATGATCTCCCCCAGTCTGTCTTCGTTGAGGTAGCGCGAGTTATCGACACATGCAATAGGTAGCACCAGGAAAAGAGTTGGAACAAGATCAATGGGGCATTTCGAAGTCAGGAACTTGACGCATCGCTTAAGCATTTCACCCCGTCCCGTGGCGTCAGGGACGTAGTTTAGCACCAATGATAGACTAATCAGATTGAAGCGTTCTGCATCACTGGAAGGCAAAGGTCGTTCCATGAAGTCCTGCTTGAGAATCCCTGGCTCCTGAGAATTCAAGTCAATTCTTGTGACATCCAATGCCGCGTTGGTAGAGCAGGCGTTCTTCGTGCTCAAAGCTCCAACTTCAAGAACACGTAGCTTAGGAACGGTCTTGTTCCATTGGCTAAGCTGTGGCTTAATCCAGTCAATGAGAACCTTGCTGGAATCACCGCCACGGTCCATTGACTGGCCGAGCTTGCTGGCCGTCTGGTAGCTCTTCAAGCCTCCGTTGGCTTCGATTTGAGCATCGATGCTGCTGACCCGGGCCTCGTCGCCAGCTGCCAGGGCTTGGGCTCGAGACTTGAGAAGCCGGTGATGAGAGCGAATGAGGTTGCGGGTTGCTTTGGCTGAAAGGGCAGCCTCCTTGGATTTGACAATTGGAGGCCGACTATGGGACAATAACATCGGCCTTTTGGATCGTTTTTGAGGAGCCATGTCGTGGTTGAGATGGGAAGTCCAGTGGTATAGATAAATTTATTCCTCGTATACTGAACCTCAATGTCTTTTGGAGGTCTGAATATACAAAGCGGTAGAGATATCCTGCAAAGAAAAGCTGGTGAAGAAAAGCCCAAAGAACGCCAAGACTGATATGCGGTCTGATTGGGTGGGGGAATGACAATACTGTAATGGTATGTAATCCAAAGTTACTGACTCAGCAACAGTCTAAGGTCACCTGACCCACACAGCGCTAGGGTTTTCGCTAAGCGAATACACCTCCAAATCTTTGATTCTCGACACTGTGACAAGCATCATCGACAGCGACCGACGACAGCCATGGCCCCTACCGACAACAAGCAAGGTACGTTCAAATAAACATGCCTTGATATTTAATTGCGATCCCAACATTGCCAATTGTGAATTTTCCGTGTGGACGTGGACGACGTTTCGATATCTGCATTCGAAAAATTTACGACATTTCGATATTGTGTTGCAAAGCGCCGGGAATACTGCGAAACGCACTTGCATCGCTATCGAACATGTCAAAGAATTTCATATCAGCGTCGTCTCGTCCAGAACATCACACTCGTCCAAACGGCAAATTCGCAAAATGGCACACGACCTATACAATTTTTTTTTCTCTAGACCACCAGACTAACCGGCTTCCTCTCTACAGGCAAGAACAAGGCCAACGCTGCCGCCAAGGCGGTCGCTAAGGGCGCTTCGGTACGTACAGTTACAAGATGAAGCAGACCAAAGAAATTTCTTTTGGAGCCTATCGCTAACGCGGTTGTGGCAACAGCTTCACAAGTCCCGCAAGGTCCGCACCTCGACCACCTTCCACCGCCCCAAGACCCTCCAGCTGTCGCGGTCCCCCAAGTACCCCCGCGTCTCCATCCCTCATGCTCCCGCTCTCGACTTCAACAAGGTCATCCTGTACCCCTTGAACACCGAGAGCGCCATGAAGAAGATCGAGGAGAACAACACCCTGGTCTTCATCGTCAACGTCAAGTCCAACAAGCGCCAGATCAAGATGGCTCTTAAGAAGCTGTACGATGTTGACACCGTCAAGGTCAACACCCTGGTCCGGTATGTTTTATTCTTTCAATTTTCATCATGTATGAACTACTAGCTAACTTGCCTTCAGCCCCGACGGTACCAAGAAGGCCTTCGCTCGTCTCACCCCTGACGTCGATGCTCTGGACATTGCCGCCACCAAGCTGGCTATTGTTTAGATAAAATTCACGAATGGATTTGTTTGGGTTTTGGCGAACTGTGTTTTCCACCGGGGTCTAAAATACCAGCCAGTGTTCCTCGGCTGTCCTTGCAGCAACGAGTGCTGAATGATCAAAAAGAACATACCCTTTATGCGTGTTTCCTTAATATAGTGGACTTGTGTCCTGTGGGCCATGGCACCTTGAGCTCAAACCGTAGACAGCGTAGAGTGTAAAGTAGTTTGGTATTATCTGTCGGTTCTGGTGCTGGCGTATGGGTTGTCCTACATGGAAACGCGCACGAGACCGAGGTTTCGAGTATAGATGTGGTCGGCTTGCGCTAACTTATCTTTATCATGTCAAAACATATGTTTCCTATCGGCCCATGGCTAGCCAGTAGATCAGTATTCTACAGCCTAACATGGCTCTCTGTCAAGTCTACTAGTCATATTCATTAAAATCCCAAGATCAGATACACTTGACATTGAAGCATTCCGCTCTCTACGCATGCTACTCTCAAACTCAAAGTACAAGATAGTATCGTTCATAATTGACTCTAGTATACAAGTGGTGATTTTGCAATCCATCTATCCAACCATAACCCAAAACCAATGCCGGTAGCCGGTAGAACCCAGCCTAGCCCAGGTACATGTACCCAGGCATCTCCATAAAGGTTTCGAACCAATGCAATGGAATCCCATCGCATCCGAATAGATAGGAGTATGCATAGGAGCAAAGAGAAGGTCAAGAACACATCCCGGTCACACTTAGTGGCCGCGCATGTTCTCTAGCTTCTGCAGGATGGACAAGCTCGTGTCCATCCACCGGTCAACGCAGTTCTGTGCGCATGCCTCCTCAGACTTGTCGAGGGTGCCGGAGGTGATTTTGCTGGTGATGCACTTTTGCCAGCAGACTTCGTTCAGGTGGTGCACGGCTAGAAGAGATGGGTTGTTAGCGGTGGATATGATAGAGAAGGAGGGTGTGTTATCAGGTAGCGGATCAATTGGATATCCTGACACAGATAGTGGAGAACCATAGAACGCTGTAGATATCAGATTGCATAGAATGGAGTTGACTTACTCTGTTGGATGTTGCCCTTCTGAGCTTCGTTGTTCAGGACTTGGTTAAGCTCCTTCTTGTCGTTCTCGGACAGCTTGGTGAGGTCAAGTTGAGTCTCCATTGCGAATAAGATGGGTAGAATTGGAAGAGAAGAGGTATATGGCGAATGAAGATGGGATAGACGATGCCGTAGCTGGATAAGTCGCTGTTCAAAATCAAAGGCGGTGGGCAGTGGCACAAAAATGACGCGCAGTTTTCCCTATCGATAGCCAACTTGGTCCCTCGTCGTATTTCTCAACGAAGAGCGCTTTTCTCCTTTCTCGCTTTGGCCTACTTCCGCTCTTCGTCTGCATTCCTTCTCGCTATATCTCACACCTACTACACTCCCTGTCATGCCTCCAATCCGCACCTCTCGCAATCGCAAACCACCACCCGCCGGCTTCGATGACATTGAAGATACCCTGCTGGAGTTCAGCAATAAGATGAAGGATGCTGAGAATGCGTCGCATGAAGGCAAAAAGAAATATGAAGTGCTCTGGCCCATTTTTCAGATCAGCCACCAACGTAAGTCGCTGCCCCTCCACCCAAGTCCCGGAACACTACTAGTATTATGGAACATACTAAAGGCCTCTTACTGACATTTAAATGGGCTCGGCAGGCTCGCGATACATCTATGACCTTTACTACGAGAAAGAGGCGATCTCAAAGCAGTTGTATGACTGGCTTCTTAAGAACGGCTATGCCGATGCCAACTTGATTGCCAAGTGGAAGAAGCAGGGTTATGAAAAGGTGAGTTTCTTGCCTTGTGGAAGGCCGTCTCTCAAAGAACTCTGCTAACCTGTGTTTTGCTAGTTGTGCTGCCTGCGCTGTGTCCAAACGAAAGAGACGAACTTCAACTCCACATGTATCTGCCGAGTGCCCAAGGCGCAGCTCAAGGAGGACCAGACGATCCAGTGTGTCAGCTGTGGCTGTCGGGGCTGTGGAAGCAGTGACTAAAGATGGATGTGTTTTGAACGTGGCTGGTGCACTTGTGGCAAATTGGGCATCAGCTCAACGTGATTATGGCGAGCCACACGCATGTGACAAAAGGGTCTACTTCGGGCGTTTCGGTACTTGCATGTTCTCTTTTCTCTTTAGGGCCGCGTCGATATACCTGAAGCATGGGTGAAATGTTGATAACCAAACAAGTAATGACTTTCAATTGCTAACTACATTAATTCAATTCAAAAGCGCCACCAATGTTTCCCAGTAGTTTCCCATAAAGATAGCCCCAACCCCAATATCCCAAATCATAAAAACCATCGCTTGCTCATGTACATCTTAGCGTTGTCATTAAGGTCGTAACCAGGCCATCCCGGGCTCGGTGGTGGAAATGTCAGAACGGCTCCTGTGCAGCCCAACTCCCAAAGAAAACACCGCCCACAAGACCTTGGAAACATCACCGGGTTTGAACTCCAGAAACAGAAACAACTCAAACAAAATCAAGGATGCGGGTAAAAGCAGGAGAACAGGAGGGGGATAGTGAGAACGATGCGAAGAACGACAAAAAAATCAAATCCGATAACACAGGGATGGGCCTCGCAGAGTGCCCATCGCAAAAAGAAGAATCATTAGGTATCTTAAAACAGGGTCGTGCTGCTGCGGTTGCCCATTTGGGGTCGCGAATGAAGCGATTTGGGCTTCAGGGTGTCGTCTTTGCTCACACCTCCAATCTTTTGGAAGCCTTGCAACAGATCAACGCCGTCAACTTCGCCAGAGCTGTCATTGCCCTCGTCAAAGAGGTGGAAAGAGAAGAAATCTTCCTGGCCAGCGTCTCCATAGCGGTGGGTTTCCGGGAGCTTGGATGGTGACTCTGGGAAGATGGCAGACTTGGATCTGGGGAGAGGAGGCATTCCCAGGCGGCTGTTGATGTTCACAGAGGTGATGTCGGTGAGGGCAGGGTTTCCACTGTCGGTACGTGCACGCTTCACCGAGCGCTTCTCCGGTGATCCATAAGAGATATGGTCTGCGCCGGTGTCCGCGAAAACATCAAAGGTCGTATGATAGTGATCATGGGGGGTGTAGCTTTCGTCCTGCAAATTGAACGCCGGGCTCCAAGGGAGTTCCTGCTCCATAAGGCCCAAGTGCTTAATAGGCGAGTTTACCATTTGCTGGATCTTGCGGCGATGGTTTCGCAGGTTGGTGTTGGGAGACACAGATGGCGGTGGCTTGGCAGGCTTCTTGAACTTTATCACGGGAGTCAATGGAGGCGGCAGCATGCTCACGTATTGACTGCGCAGAGGGGAGGATCCGATGATAGGGTTGGGGTTTTTGCGGGTGGTTGGCTGCCCAGGACTAATGTCATGAGAGGAGCTGCGCATGCGCGCAATCTCTTCTTCAGCCCGGCCTCGCTTGATGCGCGGGGGCTCGATATCCAAATCGGAGGTCAAAATGTGACCGGCCTTATTTGGCCTCAAGGCCGACGATTCCAAGGACGAGAAGTAACCACTATCGTTCATTGTAATGGACTTGCGCTTACGGGGGCGAGGCGCGGGGGTAGGGCCAGATTGAGTAGGTGTGGGAGGAGTACCTTGACGGGCGAAGCGAGGAGGAGCAATGGGAGGAGATGAGCGAATAGTCTGAGGGGGTGAGGAACGAGGGACTGCATGTGCGCCAGAAACTGGAACAACATCGTCTGCATCATCTTGGAGGGCTGGGTCAGAGGCAGGCAGAGTCGCATCGGAATCCAAGTCTGCAGCTGGCGCAGGCTTGGGTGCAGGCGCGTGATGGGCAGGTGGTGGTGGTACCATCCATGTGGTGGTGCTGACAGCGTTTGGTTGGCCAAGATCCCGCTGAGGAATAGCAGGAAGAGGTAGGCTTGACATTGTGGCGCGGCGCACTTGCTTATCTTTGAGGAACTGCGCTTCCATGCCAGGTTCAATGGCCCAGTAGTTGCCCTTGCCTGGATCATCCTTCGGTCGTTCTTGCTTGATAAAGGCCTTGTTCAGACTGAGGTTGTGTCGGATGCTGTTTTGCCAGCCTGGGTCGCTGTTCTTGTAGTAAGAGAAGGTGTCTGAAATCCACTTGTAGATCTGAGCGAGGGTCAAGCGCCGGTTGTTTGCGCGCAAAATCGACATGCCGATTAAGGTGGCGTAGCTGTAGGGCGGCTTGGTGCCGTCATCTTCAACTGGCGGCATCTCGTGTGGTTCAGGTAGACACGCAACCGGCGCGTCTTCGCGCTTTTGCTTCTTGTTGGCGCGCTCTTTCAATGGCGCAGCTTCCATCAGTGTGCGCTTCATCGGAAGTTTTGATTCATATGACGGTTCTGGGAAATCTGCGAAACTATCATTTGACGGTTCTTCTGGACGGTGGTTTTCTTTTGATGATTCCGGATTGACGCTTGAGAAGGTGGTGAAGAGAGCCGAGTGTGGCATCGAGGGTTGCGAGTAGATTGGGAAAGGCGCTTTCTTGGCTGGAGAGTCGGTGGTAAACATGGGAGGAGTGGGCGCGGAGATGGGGACAAAACCGAGTTTTCCGTGGCCCGGATGCGAGCCTTGGGGGTGCAAGGCTTTCGTCGGCGATGGCCTGTGCGAGCGGGAAGCCGGATAGAAAGACGAGTTCTCAATGGGTTGGAGTGGTAGCGGTGAAGGTTGCAGACGGGGCTGCGATCTGATGATCTCAGATGGGGCCAACACTGAAGAAACGTGTGCGCCCGACGAACGCGTCGATCCCATAATCTAAAGACTCAAACCCGAAGCAAAATTGTCGCCTGTCACTGCAGGGACCGTATGACGCGTCGAAAACAGAAAGCGCGACTTGGACAACAAGGCCAGTGGCTGGCCGGGTAAGCCGAGATGTGACGAGACTGCGCAGAGAATTTCCCTCTGGACCAATGGCAGATCACAAGCAAAGACCAAGATCCTCAGGCCGACATGCAGACTCGTTGGGCCACAAGGCGCTAAGGCAGTTGCGAATCAAGTCACGCAGATAGCAGATGACTGGAGATGGGTGGAATTGAATTGAGAATATTTGGACACCAATAGTGGCGAGTAGAGGTAGAGGTAGATAATAGAGAATAGCGAATAGAGGGTGAAGATAGAGGATAGAGTATAGAGGGTGAAGGTAGGTAGAAGAGAAGAGAGGGTATAGAGTACAGGGAAGTGAAGATCAGTAGGAGTTCCAAGGTTGGGGGATGATCCGAGGTCAAGAATGGCGAAGGATGCTAGGGCATTCTCTCACGGCAGGGCCTAATCATATTATAGAAACTAAAAAAGTGGGAGTAAAGAAATATCCTAGAATATCCCGGAATAATCAGAAATATTTAGAAATATTCAAGAAAGTTGGCAAAGGCGGGGGGGGGAAGAAGAGGGAGAGGAAGATCGAAGTTGGAGTGAGAGATGACTTCAAATACAGGTCAGGTATGGTCACATCACAGACGCGTCACGCGTTTTAGTATGGGAGAGGGGCATCTCCCCGGTGTAGATGACGGTATCAGATGGTAACAGATCAAGGGATCTATCTCCCTTGCTCATTTTTGGTCGATCTGATCCACCGTGAGGGAAGTAAGTTATGTTAGTAACGTTACTCCGTACTTGCTTCACTATAGTTCGATTGAATGTCCTATTTCTGATAATATCAAGTCTACTTTGAATATAAGTTTATATACTATATCTTTTATTCACTGATATACTCATTAGTTATTCTCATCTACATGTACCAACACATCTATTCCAGCACTGGTATGTTGATGTAACCTGAAACTGGACCTTCCAAGGTGAAACTATCCCTTGTTTCCTCAACTGTCATCCTGCAAGCCCTTCCGTAACTAGTGGCCAATGGATTGCAATGGTCTACAGATGCATGTGCTCGACTCTGCAGGTCCAACGGTATCAGATAATTGAAGATCAGTGGTTTATTGCCTGAATCTAGGGACATGTCCTTGCTTCAATATCAGAAACACCTTGTCACAATTTTAACAGAATGTATATGCCGGAACGCCTGAGAGACTACATCCCTCGATCATGAAACGCTTCATGACATCTATATGAACAGAAAAGGAGAAAACGCCAAGTCGATGCATCACAAAAGAAAAAAACATATGCTTGGCTTCCCGAGTCCCCCTTCTTTTTTGGACTTCCACCTGAGACGCATGCTTTTTTTTTCTATAAAAAACCCACGGGATATCTTAAACAACAATGACTCTTTGCTTGCGCAATTAATCCAAAAAGGTGAACATGCTCGTGTGGATGATATTCAGGGCACGGTCGGCGTCGCGTTCTTCGATCACGCAGGAGATGTTGATTTCACTGGCACCTGCGAGGGGGAAGGCTCGATCAGCCCCAGTCGAGGGTATGGAGGAAGGGGGTGGGGGTTGGAAGACAATTATTCACTTACCTTGCGAAATCATCTCAATATTCACATTGTTCTCGCCGAGAGTGGTGAACATACGACCAGCCACACCGATCATGTTCTTCATCTGCTTGCCCACCAGACTGAGAATGGCCATCTCAGGGATGATGTCAACGGTGCCGTACCGTCCCAAATCATTTAATGCCCCCTTGAGATCATCATCAATAACCTGATACTCGTCCCGTCCGTTTCCGTTCAAAAGGGGCGCTTCTGAATGGAGGGCCAGAGATACGTGAACCTCGCTGGTGGAGATCAGGTCAATGGACAGGCGCCACTTATCCAGCACAGAGAAAATGCCGGCAAAGAAACCGTGCGACAGGGACCGTTTGTTGGAGTGGACGTTGATGACCAAAATCTTGTGCTTGATGGTCACGGCCGTCGGCCGCTTCGGTCTTTGCATGAAGCTGGGACTGCGTGTGCGGAACAGGCGAGGATCGTGTCCAGGGGTGGTTCTCTCCAGTTCGGCCGTGGAGTCTGGGAAGATAATGGTGCCCCTGTTCTTCGGGTTCATGACATTTTTGATGCGAATGGGGATTTTGGCGCGGATGACTTGTTCCATGGTGAACGGGTGAATGACTTCGGAGCCATAGAAGGTCAATTCGGCGGCTTCAGCGGGAGTGATGGCGGAGAGCAGACGAGCAGTCGGCACCTTGCGCGGGTCCGCAGTGAAGATGCCGTCCACTTCCTTCCACACCTGCAGCTCCTTGGCGTGCGTCCCAACTGCAACGAGGGCAGCGCAGAGGTCGGTGTATCCACGACCAATCTGATCAAGCAAACCACCGGGAATAGTACCAAAGTACCCAGTCATGACTGGTACTCGGTGCCCGCAGGCCTCGACCTTCTTGCCAAAGGCCGCCGCCAACGTGTTATAAAAGTCCTGGTCGAGGCCGTGGTGACCAATTGGGAAATCAATGATCTCGGAGAGGTCGACATACTGTGAGTCTACCCCACGATCTTGCAGCAGGGCAGCCATCACACGGCAGCTGAGCTTCTCGCCGGTGCTGATCACCTTATCCACGCAACGTGCGCTGATCTCTCCAAGAGTCTGGGCAGCCTCGAGGACTTTGAGAACCCGTTCACATTCTCCACTGATATCCGCAATCACTTGGTCTCTGATTTCGGGGGATTTCAACTGGTCCTGGGCGACCTGGACATGTTCCAACCGAACAGCCTCCACCAATGTCCGGTATTCCCGCGACTGGGAATTCTCAGCATCCCGTGCGGCTCGCAATAACCTATTCACAAGTACTATCAGCATCTCGAGGTGACTTGCCACGGAATTGGGATGACTCACCGGTTGGTGGTGCCCTCGGCTTTCGTAGAACTGCTTCGTGCCGAACATACAACAGCGACTCTGTTATCAACTAGGCTGGGTCTATAATAAGGGATCTCGGTCAGTGATGTGCGTGTGTAGTCGTGAATTGAGTCATCATACTGGACCACCTGCTCAATAATATTGAGAGCAAACTTGCCGACACTAGTGCCACCGAATTTTTGCACAACCCAATTGCTGTGGGCCTGCGAGGCTGAGTCTAGGAGAGCCATGATCACGTCAACCCAGGAGAGTCTGTTGTGGAAAGAAGAGGGAGAGTAGTGTAGTTTGGGAGGGGAACAGCGAAAGCGGAGCCCTACCACATGCGGCGCCGCATTTGCAAAAAAAAATCGTGACTCAATTGGCAATAGAGTTTGACCGCCTTCCTGAAGCAGTCAGGCACTAAACGATGTCGGCGACCCCGCCAATCACGCCATTGGCATTGTGTACGGAATAACATTTATCCAGGTTCCTTGATTACGGAGTACAATGGATCTATGATGTATTTTTATTTGTTATATCGAGGGTTGGCATGCCGAGAATCCGAACCTTGGAAGGTGCGGATTGAATTTTATACATATCGATTCTCAGCTGTTATGTATCTTTTTGCACATGCTTCTTTTACTTTGTAATATGCAAGTATACGAAATTCTACTTGAATATATGGTGGGTCTCGGGAACGGGCACCGTTCCCTCGTTTAGGCTTTAGGCATCAGACTATGCATTTCTTATACTTCCGACTCGATATCCAACTTTGCTTGTAGGCTAGCATTTGCCATTTTCTTTGCATCTCAGTACATATATTCGACATCTCTCCGCAGTGTCTCCCAAAAAAGAAAACATCAACCTATCAAATTCGGGCCTGTCGGCACAGGATGAAAACTTCATGATGGCGGACCACAGCACCCCATCATGTCCATTTTGTCCATTCACAGACCAAGATGCTGACTTTGTCACTCAGCATATCGAATTCTGTCATCCAGAATTTGGGGGCGCGGGCTTTTTGTCCGACAGCCCTCCTGTTGCGAGTCCGAGGTTGTCACCGTCTGTTGACGACGATGCAGACAAGTATGTTGACTGTCCACACGGGTGTGGGGAGACGGTGGCAAGTGCCGAACTATCGAATCACTTAGATCTGCATGTTGCAGAGTGTATGGCACTGGATGATGCTGGGGCAACGCTGGCACACTCAACCGCGGGAGGTTCATATGAAGATGACCATTCATTTGACGAGGATGACTCATTCGACATGCTGGATTCTCATAAGGGGGGGAAGCGTGGGATGCAGCGAGATGTCTCGCGAGCAAATACAGCAAAGCCACTACGGCCTCACGACCCTCCGAAGGCAATTGGCCCTGATGGTGCAAAGAGATTAGGAGTGCGTATCACATTTTGATACTCTACAACCCAATCACTAACCCTTTCACAGCGTTCAGAACTGGGTCCCCATGCCCATGAAAAGAAAATGCCGTCGTGGCTGAGGAAAATGTTGGAGAAAGGAGGCCGCACTTCAAAGCAGACCCAAATTACTTCAGACGGTAAATTGTCACGGCGCGAGACAGTGGAAAATGAGACCGACAATTTGATTCCAATCCTTGCTCGTTTATGTGAACAAGACAAATCTGTGAAGCGGGCCTTTTTTTGTAGCCCCAAGGTCCGCCATATCTGCAAGATGTCTCGGGAAGGCGGGTTTTGTGGCTACCGGAACATTCAGATGCTCATCTCTTATTTGAGAAAGTCTCGAAGTTATGGATATGAGCACTTTCCAGAAAAGGGCCCGACGATCTTGGATCTACAGGATATGATTGAATCTGCCTGGGATATGGGATTCAACAGTGTTGGGAGAACGGAGACTGGGGGTATCAAAGACACCCGCAAATTTATTGGAACGCCCGAGGTGGGTTTCTTCTCGCATATCTGATATACCTGCTAACCATGCTTTAGGCACAAGCATTATTCATGAGTCTTGGGATCCCGTGAGTTGTGGCTGACATATCGAAAAAGATACCGCTAACTCTCATCCAGGTCTGACGCCAGCAGTTTGTGTGAAACTAGTGACATACGCGCCTGCGATGCCCTCTACATGGATGTGGCAAGCTATTTCAGGTCGGCATGTTCACTAGAGGACGAAGAGACCAAGATCTTCAAGACTGATCTCCCTCCGATATACTTCCAACATCAAGGTGTTTCCAATTCCAATGCTTCCTTTTCTTGTCTTTTGTGTCGTATTTCTTACGCAGAGAAACAGGTCATTCCATGACAATTGTTGGGTTTGAGATCCGAGACAATGGCAGTGCCAATCTGCTCGTTTTCGACCCGATGTTCAAAACTTCCCCTGCCATGGAGCGTATGCTCGAAGCTTTTGTCAAACCAAAAGATCCTACGCGCCTGCTCAAAGTCTATCGCAGAGGCACGCCTTATCTGCAAAAGTATAAGATATTCGAGCTTCTCAAGTGAGTGATTGTTGATCTTTTTCTTGTATCATACTTACGAATGGCAGACTATGCGTTACTACCCCGAACCCCGAACCCACGCAGAATTTACATGAACTAGAGTACCTCTAGATGAGAGATATCTGTATATAATCATGATTAATGAGATAATGCTCCCCTGTTGTATACAACTCATACTCGTAGTGACACCGCCTACATACCGCCTGTCACACTGCCTTGAAAGTCACCATGGGATATGTCTAACATTGCTCTCTTGTTAATGCTATACTGGGGGTTATAATTGAGACTACCATGGGAACAATTATATAATTTAGAATAAAATATAACTAACTATATGCACAGTGTACATCAGGGGATTAATGTCCTTTCTGCCGGCAGTAAAATTAGTAAGGTACCCCTCCGACGATAAGATAGTCGAAAATTAGTCTGATTTCATCGGAGGACAATTCTTATACACTATACTCTTCCAACCATGCGAACCTCTCCGAACGTGATCATCACTGGTACCCCTGGCGTGGGGAAGACCGTTCATTGCGAACAACTCGCGCAAGATATCGGCCTGAAGCATCTCTCTATCAACCAAGTCGCAAAAGACCGTGGCTGCTTCGATGAATATGATGAGGAACTGAAAACCTGGGTGGTCGATGAAGATAAGGTAAGAGTTTCGTCTGCGCGCGATATATCTGTTATGGCGCCCTTTGACACCTGCGCATATATAATCAACTACCTCCGTCACGAATGCCCCGAGTCACAGAATGCTAACCCGTTTGAATCTCTAGCTTCTGGATGCCCTCGAAGATGAAATTCCCAACGGTGGATACCTAATCGACTGGCATGCTTGCGATCTCTTCCCTAAATCCTGGATTGATCTCGTCGTTGTCCTCCGGTGTCCCACTACAGATGTTCTATACGACCGACTTGCCTCGCGGTAAGTCGATTGGCTTTGGATACTGATACACGCCTAAAACTAAGTCTTGTCTAGGGGTTACCACGATAAGAAGCTTGAGGAGAACGTCGATGCGGAAATTTTTGGCGTCCTGCTAGATGAAGCGCGGGAAGCCTTCGACGAGGAGGTTGTGGTGGAGCTGAACAGCGAGCAGGACAGTGATGTGGAATCCAACTGCCAGAGAATCGCGCAGTGGGTGGAGTCGTGGAAGAAGACGCAGGCGGAAAATGCGGACTGAACAACCATAGACATGCTTTGGCTTCATTTCTCATTCTTCTATATGGTCTATCATGGCCGCTTTATATACCCATGGCTATTTACTGCTGACCTTCGGATAGCCACTGCTGCAACTTCACTAGCGCCTTGTATCGATGGGAGATTTTGTTCTGTCCGTTTCTTAGTATGGATTCTTGGATTAGACTCAAAAGAGGTCTTCTTACCTTGGCTTCCTTCTCCATCTCGGCGTATGTTGTCTTTCCATCATACTCGAAGATAGGATCCCAGCCTGTCATACATCAGAACTTGAATCTGCAATACAAATTTCTTGGAAGTTCACTTACCAAAGTTGGTCGGGCCTCTGGGCCGCACAATGGCACCCTGTATATCGCAATTAGATTTGTATCATGAAATTACCATAGATGATGAACTTACCTCTGTTCTGCCCTGGAAGATAAGAGGCTCCTCGCCCGGTCCCCGGCAAAAGGCAAAGGTGCACACAGCTTCGGCCGTTCTGTCCTCAAAACCGTCAAGCATCTTGTTCAAGCCTTCGTGGCCCAAAGCCATAAAAAATGATTTGCTTGATATAATTAGCAGTTTCACATAGCAAGTAGTATAGAGGTCTCACATGTATGGCCCGGGGAGACCCTTGAGTGCATGGAACTCGAGGGCAGTGTCTTCGGTCAAAGCAGGTCCGTTAATCTGTGCCACATGAGTATACATAACTTCAAGTGATAATCTACAGGGTATAACTCACTGCTTCAGCGGCACGTCTGGCTTTTTCCTTGGCGATTTCCTCGATGGTTCCCTGTATCTCTGGGACATCAACTTCCTGGCTGTCCACCTCGATAACATTACCAAGGATAGCCCGCACTTCGGACAACTTGTTTTTGTTCCCAGTAATGAAGTTGAGCTTGGTGAGAGTCATTTTGAATGTTGATTGAGTCCTTGGTTCAATCTGGTGAGTCAGGTCTGGAGGTTCAAAGCGTTGCGAGAGTGAGAGGTCGAACTCCACCCCACCGTCACCGCTCCAATATATATCCGTGATGTCTCAAGAACCTCCAGTTTAGTATGACTAACTTACAAGAAGTGAGCATGTACATGCCTACAGAGCAAAAATGTAAATGTCAAACAGAGTTCTGTTCTGTCTATACCTAAGACGTCTCATGCAAAACACAAATGAAAATCATCGCATCACTGTATCTCAAAAGGCCATGGAGAAATCCAGGCAGGTCGTAATCCGTAGCTCACAGGAAAGTCTCTCTAATATACAACATACAGATCTATTCCTCAATTACCCCGTTGTCCAATTCGAGCTTCTCTTGTTGCGCCATCGCCTGCGCTGACACAATCTCAGCCAGTCGCTTCAGTCGCGGTGTTTGGAGCCAGGATGGGGTATAGGTCTCCAGAGCGGTGATAACACGGGGCTCGGCGATCTCATAGGGACCGCTGTCCTCCATATCGACCGGCGCCAGCAGGAGTACATCGCTCTTCTCGGTGACTCGAGAAGCGACAGCCTTCATGATTTCGCCGTTGATGGGCTGTTCATAGTCTGCAACCAGGTACTGGTTCAGAAGTTTCTGAATCTGGTTTGGTGACAGCCTGGAACCGGTGTTAGTGGATGGATATCACAGACAGTGGGGGCCAAACTTACATCCAGCAGATATCTTGAATGATCTCAATATCATTCAGAGTAGCCTTCTTCAGCTGCAGAAGCTTTGTCGCTTGCTGTTGTAAACGTTAGCAGGCTGAGACCCAAACGATGCAAAGAAACATACCATCAGATGCTCCAATTGCAAGGTTCCCTCTGGCATGTCGTGGCTCTTGCACCACTCCTCAATCCGAGTGATGTTGTAGTTGATCTGAAGACCACGCTTCCATGAAAGGAAGTTACGGCGCATGAGGAGATCGTTAAATGCGGTGACACCAACCAGGCGCAGCAGCTCTGTGACGGTCTGAGTGACAATGGTGTCTTCAAGGTAGAATGCCTTCATGGCCTTGTAGACACCATTCAGGAGACTGAGAAGATTGTCCATGCTGTAAGCAGGATTGTTGTTAGAGGGTAAGAGCTTTCCAAGGAAACGGTTGGTTTCACTCGTAACAAAGCCCGGAAGTGACTGAGACTCGATAATCGCAGGCACAATCATCTTGTAAAGCTTCTTCTTCAATACTTTCATCCATGTGTGGTAAATGTTGAACTCCAAGCTTTCAAGATCGTGCTTGACGATCTCCAGAAGACGGTCGTACTCATAGTTCTCGGTCTTCTGGGCTTCATACCAATCCTCAGCCAGGAAGACAAAGGAGAGCATCTCGTGCACGTTGGACAACCAGAAGGCACCGGGGTTGATCGCATCATCACCATCATGCTGCATGACCTCTTGTTGAATGGATTGCATGACATTGGCAAGGAATCGCTCCGACTCCTTGACGAAACCATTGTTCCACATCTCGGATGTGACCAGGTTGATCAAGTATGCCGGGAAGAGGACTTCTTTTTCGGTAGGTGGTGGGGTCGAGCTTGGGAGAGGGATCTTCAGATTGCGAATCAGACCCATGCCGACCTCCTCATTCAAGTCGTCCTCTTCAGAGAGCAAGTTTTCGAGTTCGTACTCAACAGATTCCGATCCCGGAGAGATAACTGCGTTCTGACGAGCGGCCATGGACCCAGGGGTGATTGCCATTGATACCGGCCGAGGGTTGTAAGCACCGCTGAAGCGATCCGTCTCAATCTTTTCTGCGCCAGCGCTGCGTCTTTTCGGTTTGGGCTTCTTCGAAGACACCAGGTTGATCAATGCCGGTGCAGGGGCTTGAACTGCGCCACCGTTTGGAAGATCGCCATTGACCCCGTTGACTGGTACAGACCTCTTGGCAACCTCGAGCTGTTCCTCAAGCTCCGAGATGCGCTGGCGGAGGCCGGTCTTGTCTTTCTCGTGATCGGCGTCAATAAGCCTGAGACGCTCCAGCTCCTCGTTGGCGGCCTGTAAAGCCTCACGAGAGAGCCTTTCTTCTTCTTGGAGGCGTTTGATATTGGCTTGAGCCTCGGTATGACTTTGTTGCAGCTTAGCCATCTCCTCTTCGATGGCCTCTAACCGGGCTGCAGTGATACCAGCCTGGTTTGCTTCAGCCTGAAGCTCCTTTGTGCGAGCCTCCAGCGTGTTATGACGACTGCGCCACGACTTCAATTGAGTGTCGTAGTTTTCCAACTGAGAGACCAAGGTCTTGTTTTCGAGTTTGAGAGATTGTATGATCTGAGTCAACTCGACCACCTTGTTCTCAAGCTTGTAAGAAATCTGCTTGAGATCGCGTGCATCCTCACGAAGTCGCTTGTAAGCATTTCTCGCCTGTTTACCTCTCCAAAGGTTCTGGACAGTGATAACCTTACGGCGATACTGTCTCCAGGACCGCAATTGACGCCATGAACGGAAGGCACGTTGAATGACCTTGGCTGCGTTCCCATGGATAGAGTCCATGATATTGCGCCGACAAAGGAACCCCTTGGCAATGGACTGGAACAGAATGAAGTTTTTGCGAATTTGAGTGTATCGCTTCTTCTCCTTCTGGCCACGCCAGACCCGCTGAATCGTGGTAGCAGCCTTCGTGCGGCGGATTTCCTGGGCGCGTTGACGTGCCAGGAATCCCCGGATAAAGGCCTGAGTGGTGAGAATGGATTCGCGAGCTTCGAGGTAGCGACGGCGGTAATACTTGGCCCGCAGATTCTTCTGGATCATGATGGCGCATTCGTTCAACCTGGAGGTTCTGAGGTTCTCTAGGAAAGCGAGCATACCAGCCCGGAAAAAGATCTTGGTGAGACCCAGCTGGTACTTGACCTGCTTTTGGTGGCTGGCCTCTCCAAGGGCCTTGCGCAGGATAGCATGACACATTTCTCGGATCTCGGAGGTCCATTGTGAGGAATGACACAGCATGTAATAACGAATGGCAAATTCCTCATAGGTCCATCGGGTTGGGTAACCAGCGGTACTAATTCGAACAGTTTCCAAGACACCGCAGGCTCTCAGCTGACTCAGGACCATAGGTCCCTCGAATTTCCAAGCTTCCTTTGCCTCATTGGGCTTGATGCAGCGGATATAATGGACCTCGGTAGAGTTGATGGTGTGCATCAGCTCAATCAGCGAAGACTTGAAGATTCCTCCGAGCGTAGGTTTGCGGTTCACTGCAACACCGATCCGACGACCGGGTGCTGCTGCCACCGGCTTGGATGAGACAGAGGCAGAATCCTTTTCACGGACAGCAGCAGCAGTGTCCAGGATCTCCTTGATGAATGGGTTTGATGAGTTGCGCAGCACCTCCAAATGTTCATCGGGCACCGTATCGCGGTTCTTTTCAATGAAACCATCGGATTCATAAGTAACATCCACAGCGTAGTGACAAACAGTGAATGCGGACTTGCCGAATCTGGGCTTCTTGTAGAACTTTTGCTTGTCGGCGGCAAAGTGATGGTGAAGCTTCGTGACAAACTGCTCGTCGGAACCCATAGGAAGTCGAGATTCTTCATCCAAAAGCGATAGAATACCAAGCTTGGCTTCGATCAAATCGATACAAGGTTGGTTATCTGAGAAGTCGATGAAGGTCCAATCAATCTCTTCCCGTACGTATTCTTCCTGCTCAAGCTTGAACACGTGCTGGTTGAACTCCTGCTGGAGCTTCTCATTGGCATAGTTGATACAGAATTGTTCGAAGGAGTTTTTAGCAAAGTGTTCAAAGCCGTAAATATCCAGAACACCAATGAAGCACTTAAACTTTTCAAGAACCTCGTCCGTGGCCAAACGGCGATTGATCTTGTCCACAAGCCAATCAAACAAACTTGAATAAATGAATTTGGCGACTGAGTCTCGGACGACGAGAGCCTGTTGCTGCGTCAAGTTTGAAGTGATCTTCTCACCACGGGTGATGAGTTGCTTTTTGACGATCCATTTCGCAAACTCGTTGGCATCGATACCAAGCATCTCACAAGCGCGCACAAGGGCAGGCTCGGACGATGAAAGGGACGATTCGGTACGGGTA